CTCTTTCCATGGTAACTATACACAATGCTGGCGATGGTGCCCGTTGGCGGTAAGTGAAACAAAAGCACTAGAGAAGAAGCTTTTAAAAATGTAATTACAAAACAATTAAATAAGAAAGAAAAAGTCCATCTGCCATCTCACATTAACACTACAAAATGTGATTGACTTGTCGCTCCTCTCCTTTCCCTCCCCCTTTTTATTTTCAATGCTGTTGAGTAATGCCTCCTGGACTTTGGATGTACATATTGTTTTGTAGCCGTCTGAGCTGTTTGATTACTGACTTCATGGTGATTTTCCCCTCGCACATCTTACTCAGAGTTACTGAACTCCAGTTTGGCTGGTTTTATTAATGCACTTCCTGCCCCCATGCCTTTCCTACTTTTCCTCACTCCCCTGTTTGTAGCTCTGGACTGTCCTTTCTTTGCCCGTAACAGTCCTCTCTCCTGCCCGTGACTCCCTTCCTGACTTCTCTTTCCCCTACCTTCCTGTCCTCTTTACCCACATTCTCACCCATCCTCTTCCCACTCTCCCTTCCTGTCCTGTCCCTCCCTCACCCGCAGCTGGTCTCTCTCGCTGACTGGTGGTTTCTGGTTGGTTCTGGCCATGGTCCCTGTTCAGTGCTTGGTTGCATTCTGCTCTCCCAGCCAGTTTACGCTCTTGCTCCATTCTGATCCTTGTCTGTGAGACCTTGCTTTCCACCTTCTCCTTCCTTTCCAAAATTGAGTGGTTTTTTCTTTCTCTTTTCTTTTTTGTTTTGTGTGTGTGTGTGTTTTAACTGCATGCTCTCAGTCTCATCATTGTTGTATCCCATTCTTTCTTTTTAAATGTGAAATGTTTATATTATTTGGTGGGTCAAACTAGAGTAAATGGAGTTTCAAGCTCTGTCCTCATATAGGAGGCATATCACTATACAAATCCTAAATGGCACACTGAGAGGGTTTTTTGTCCCAATTCTACTCGACTTGAAATTGGCCTTTTTATAACACAACTTGAGCACTGTGCAAATCTAGCACAATGTAAATTCCAACAGGCAAAATAAGACATTTCTATTTTATATACATTTTTAATTGGCATGTTTTGTGACCTGACAGCACAGTGGATAATCAGGTTCTCTGGTGAGGCTTTATGCTGCTCACAAGAACTTGGAGGGCAGTTCTGTCAGGGGCTGCGGCAGCACCATCTGTGCCATCCTGCTTACCCTCGCCCTCAGAATGCTTTAGAGCATGCAGCTCTCTAATGAGGCTGGAGAGTGCCACAAAACAAAGACGCACTTTCTTTCTTTAGGTTTCTGTTTTGTTTTGTTTTTAAGATTTTTGCCATCACAGAAAGAGGCAAAGTGAGAAATCACCCCCAACGGGATGTGCTCACCATGATCCTTTCTCCATTCTCCTTTCTGGATTTTGGGCCTCCTCGCACATGTGCCCAGAATGGTTTTCAAGCCCCTGGGTCTAGGACTCGAACCGCAGTTGACCGTGTGGGAGTCCAGTGCCTCAACCACCACATCACCTGCTGGCCCCTTTACTCAGTTCTTTGAAGTGCCTACTGAAAGGCCTTCTGAAAACTTTATTTTTAAGTGTATAGACTATATATAGTCTAGGAAATTCAGAGTGGTCCAGAAGACTGTCAACATGGGAATCTAAGTTCCTTTATTTGTTTACTAACCTCAGACAGTAAAATCGTGGACACTTACCAATTATCTCCCTCTAAGTCTTTTTCATAACCCAAGTGGTAAGCCTCTGTTTTATTCATGAACGTTAGTGTTCATTTGCAAATGCTGTTTTCTGTTTACTTTTCCCTCATATTTTCCTTGATACAGAGACTTCTCTGTTCAAGAGATCTCCAAAGAACTTGAAATATATTTTTTCTTTGGAGTACTGAGTGGCAAAGAAGCCCTAGTTTTCCATTTGGAGACTGAAAAACTACATTTTACTCTTGTTAGCCTCCTTTAATAAGTGCTTTAAAACACTGTAAATTAATATTTTATATTGCTGTATTGATTATTTAAAGCTCTCAGAAATTTACATTTTAAACTAAGTACTGTGTTATTGGATGAGCACTGCGTGTTCCCTAACTTGGTCTTCATCTCCCTGCCCATTCTTTCCACTTGTTACTTCTAGGTGAATAATGCTACAGCACGCGTAATGACCAATAAAAAGATGGTCACACCATATGCAAATGGTAAGAAACCTTCGGAAGGCTGTCATTTATTTTCATATAAATATATGAATTATTTACAAATATTTAAGTATCTTTCTTTGAATGTTAAGACGGTTGTTTTTATTTATGTCGAGATAGCCTTTTTATCTAAGAGAATATTTTCTCTGCATGTTGGCTTTTTGTTAGAATTAAGCTTAGGATTCTAGTTATTAAATTATTGTATTCTCAGTAAAGTTTATCTTCTACACAGTACAAACATGTCATTGGGGGTTGCCTCCTGACACAAAGTTGCATCCAAGCACTCTCTATTTTAGTTTCTGTCGTTCTTTGTAATATGTTAGACTTGTTCACAACACCCCTCCCTGGATGTCCATCAGTTCTCACTTTCACTACCAATTCCTGCTCCTCTGAGCACGAGTGTATTGTGGGAAGGGTGAGTATGTCTTAATTCCTTCTGTAAGTCCCAGTCCCTCACTTTTCTATTTATAAGGCCTAGAGGTAGCAACTGTGTGTGCGTGTGTGTGCACGCGCGCACGCTCGTGTGTGTGTAACTTTCTAGTCTATGATCGCATGTTATTTAGCAAGTTTTTTAAACGTTTCTCATTGACAATGAAATTTTCTGTGAATGATTTGTCCCAATAAAAACAGAGCTTTTATATCACTCAAATGGGAGAAAAACAAAAAATCAAATGGATTGGTTCCTGAGATCTCCCACACTCTAGCACAGTGGGTTCTAATTTTTTACCAAAGCAGCAAAATTCTCCCTTTTAGGAACCAGCAGTTGGCATAATGGCTATGTTGCTAGACTCTCATGTAGTCGACTGTGGTTTGAGTCCCAGACCTAGTGTTAAACTCACACCTGGCATATGTGCCCAAGATCCCAAGAGGAGAATGGAGGAGAAGGGATTGCAGCATGGCCATCCCCCCTGGGGGGCAATTTCTTGCTTTCTGTCTCTCTATCTCTCTTTTTGGTGAGCGTACGCACCCTATAGCAAAAATGTCTCAAAAAAAAAAAAAAAAAACAAACAAACACCTCTCCCTTTTATTCTAGATACATTCTTACACAGTACCCTAACATATACAGCAGCGAATGAGGAGCTGCTCGGACTAATGCACTTTATGCATGGTTTTCTTACCTCTTACCTACTGTTGTAAAAACACAGTTCCGCACTAAAAACCCAGTGTGACCAAAATAAAAGGAGAGCCACGGGTGTCATAGATCCAGAAAGTGTTGTGACAGGAGCCAGACTGGCATCCAGAAGGCCAGCTCCCCTGTGCCCCAGCCTCGCTTTGCTCTGACAGCAGGCCAGTCTCTGTCCAATGCTATTTTGGTTTCTGTAAGCTGGGCCGCAGTATTTCAGCCCCTGAGGTTCTTCACAAACCATCACAACCCAACTCTTGGCTAGCAGGTGGAGTGGCGGTTAAGGGCGCTGGGCTCCCACATGGCCGACCACGATTCGAGTCCCGGACCTGGTGACTTGCTTTCTCTCTCTCTCTCCCTCTCTTTCTCTCTCTTTCGTGTTCTCTTGCTTTGTCCCCTCTGGTCAGATTTTAATAAATTAATTAATTTAATTAAATAATTCAAAAACACAGTCTCTCTCAGCTTACTATTTAGGAAATGAGGCCCAGAGAAGTGTAGTCCTCACCGCAGTTGCAGATGCAGTACCAGTATTATGTCCCGCTCTGCGTTTTGTGAAGGTTAAACGGCATCTGTGAAAATACACTGTAAATTGTACTAAACTGAAAATCCTCAAGTAGTACCAGCACATCAGTCTACACCATCGTATGGATTTAAAATGTGGGCTCGGGGATTAGTTCCATTGGTGGAAGAAAGGTCACTTGTTGCATGTTGCTCTAAATTGGCATTCAGGAAGCCTGCTGCTGTGTCGAAGGTCTAAGGACAGTGCCGAGGGTTCCTTCTGATGAATTCGCGGTCGGCATTTTCATTTATTTTGGTTGCGATCACTTAATTTGTGCAGAAGCACCGAACAATATTTGTGCAATTTGCAGACATTTGACACTGCAGAACTTTAGTGCTCTTACAATTTAAGTAGGATTTGACCCATATTTTGTCAAAATTTAATTTAAAATAATGGACATCACTATCATGAGCACATAAGATGATGAGTAGGAGATTGGTTTGATTCAGAAAGAATAAATTTTTTCCTTGAATAATATCTTTGCTTGTGGCCATTTAAATCTGGTTACTTCAGTAGAATTGGCTTTTTCTTCTATTTGTGTGTCTATAGAGAGCAGTGACATGGTGCTAGCTAGGGACTTGAGATAATACAAATCAGCAAAAGAACCTATCTTTCAGAAAAAAATAGGACGTGTGCTCGTTATGTGTAACAGTCAAGAAATATTTATTGATTAAAGCTTTTGTATGGAATTCTATTCGCTCTCAGTGAGCAGTGGTATATTTTTCTCTCCTTTTTATTTTTTTTATTTTTTTTTTTATTAAATAGATTTCTCCATGGGGCACATGTGCTTGCTAGAGAGAAACAGAGAGAGGGAAAGTGAGAAATCACCCCTGAGAGGGATGGCCTCGCTGAATTCCCTTCTCCATTCTCTTCTTGGGATTTTGGGCAACGTATACATGTGCTTGGTGTGATTTTTCAGGCCGCAGAATCCGGGGCTCACACTGCAGTCAGCCAAGTGGGAGTCCAATGTCTTAACCGCACACCAACTGCTCTCTCCTTTTTTGTAACACTTACCATATTCAAAAGATATGAATAAATAAAATTGGCATCAAATGTATTTGGAAACTCTTAATATTTAGTTTAATTTAGTGTTAGACAGCAGCTCAGTGTCCTTGACTTAAATGTGTTCATTACACATTAAAATCTTGAAAAAATATGAACTGAAGTTGAGTTTTATTATTGCATGTCTTTCTTTCCTTTTTCACTTGGTGAGCACTGATGAAACCTCAGTGAGAGAGAGTCTCAGTGTACGCAGAATGCCAGTATAGCATAATCGATCATGGAGTCAAAAATCCAGGTCACATTTAAATTCAGCCACAGAATGCCTTCTTAAAACAACTAGAGCAGTAAGCAGTGTTGAGGTGATGGATAAAAAAGTGCAGGGCCACGTAGTGACTTGGTGGTGATGCAATTGGACCCACATGGGAAAGGTCCTGGCTTCTTGTTCAGGACCTCCATGAGCATGCCATTATGGGCACACGTGCCCGTAATCTGGGCAGACTGAGCCGGGGGTGGGCCATGACATGAAGACCCTTTTGGGGGTTCTCGCCCCTCTTCCCCCAGAAGAAAAATTAACCTTAAAAATAAATAAATATTTGGGCCAGCAGGTGGTGTGGTAGTTAAGGACTCTGGACTCCCACATGACCAGCCATGGTTGGAGTCCTGGACCTGGTGCTTGCTTTCTCACTTCCTCTCAGTCTGTTCCTCTCTGGTCTAATTTTTAAAGACAGATAAATAAAGTTACATAGTTCTTTTTAAAAATAAAAATAAATAAGTAAATATTAGGGTCTCAAACCCTAGGAAGCATATTTCGTTTTGTTTTGTTTTTTAGAGAGATTTTTACTTTAGGACGCACGCATTCATCGGAGAGACAGAAACAGAGACAGCAAGCAAGAAATCACCCTCCCCCCGACCCTGAAGGGGATTGGCCACTCTGCAATCCCTTCTCCTCCATTCTCCTCTCAGGATCTTAGGTGCACACACACACGTGCCCAGCGTGTTTTATGCTGCCAGGTCCAGGATTTGAACCACAGTGATGTAATCATTATGCCATCAGCTAGTTCAGCATGTATTTTTACTAAGAAAAGAAAAAATATACCAGTGCGATACAGAGTGACAGGCTTCTTCCCTTTTTTCTAAACTAAAATAAATAAATAAATAAACAAACAAACAAATAAATGACTCTGGACTCCCACATGACCAGCCATGGTTGGAGTCCTGGACCTGGTGCTTGCTTTCTCACTTCCTCTCAGTCTGTTCCTCTCTGGTCTAATTTTTAAAGACAGATAAATAAAGTTACATAGTTCTTTTTAAAAATAAAAATAAATAAGTAAATATTAGGGTCTCAAACCCTAGGAAGCATATTTCGTTTTGTTTTGTTTTTTAGAGAGATTTTTACTTTAGGACGCACGCATTCATCGGAGAGACAGAAACAGAGACAGCAAGCAAGAAATCACCCTCCCCCCGACCCTGAAGGGGATTGGCCACTCTGCAATCCCTTCTCCTCCATTCTCCTCTCAGGATCTTAGGTGCACACACACACGTGCCCAGCGTGTTTTATGCTGCCAGGTCCAGGATTTGAACCACAGTGATGTAATCATTATGCCATCAGCTAGTTCAGCATGTATTTTTACTAAGAAAAGAAAAAATATACCAGTGCGATACAGAGTGACAGGCTTCTTCCCTTTTTTCTAAACTAAAATAAATAAATAAATAAACAAACAAACAAATAAATAAACAAACAAGCCTATTTTAGGTAACCTATGAGAGAAATAAGCTATAAACCCCAGGATTGATTTATTTATATTTCTTTTTCCTCCTCTCATTTCCTCTCCATCTTTCTCTCTGCTTCCCAAGTTCCCTCTATTCTCATCCCCTCTTCCCCATGCCCACCCACTCTCAGCCCTCCTTTTATCTCTTCACTGTGATAAAGACAATACCATTATTCTCATACACATCCCAATCTGTCACACAAGGAAAAGTTGATAATAGGCAAAAATAAGCCCTTCACTGTCAAAGCCAGCATTGCATGCGCTGGTCACCCCGTTACTTCACATGATCTGAAACACTTGCTGTCCTCTTTGCCGTTACAGGTTGGAAATTAAGCCCAGTAGTTGGAGCTGTATATGGCCCCGAGTTGTATGCAGGTAGTATTTAAGCTAATGTTTCCTTTTGTGCTTTTGAGCTATAGCTTTTATTGTTTTGTATCCTGCTATTCCTTTTTAATCTTTAATTTTTCTATTTTTCTTTTTTTTTTTTAAATGCAACCAGCATCCAGCTTTCAAGCAGATGTATCCCTAGGCAATGATGCAGCAGTGCCCCTGTCAGGAAGAGGGGGTATCAACACTTACATTCCTTTAATCAGTAAGTAGCCTATGTTGGCCTGGCATAGGTTTCGATGTCGTGAGTAAACAGTGGTATGCTAGTTTGTTGTTGTTGTCATCATTGTTTGTGTTTTCCTACTATAATAACTGAAAAGGAGAACACTCCTGAGAGAGAGAATATATACTGTCACAGGCCCTGTCCTGCTTAACCTGTGCCACAGTCTTCCTGACCAAGGTAACAGTGCCACCAAGCAAAAATAGCTGGGAATGGTAGAGATGGTGAGGGGCATATGAAGAATATTTTAGTCTGGAGACCAGCATTTAGCGTCATGGCTATGTCACTAGACTCCCATGTAGTAGAACACGGCTCGAGTCCCGGACCCTGTGGTTTAAACTCAAGCCAGGCGCAGGTGCGTGCATGCCCAGGATCCCAATCCTGACAAGAGAATGGAGAAGGGATTGCGGCGTGGCCTTCTCCCCTGGAGGGTAATTTCTCACTTTCTGTCTCTCTGTGTCTCTCTGTCTTTCTGGCAAGCACATGTGCCTATAGCAAAAACCTCTCCCAAAGAACAAAAGAAAGAATATTTTAGTCTGTATTTGATAATAACGGAAACAAAAGAAGTTTATATAGCATACATCATGTGTTTCCTCTGCAAGTCAACTTCAGGCTCTTCAGGAGGGGATCACTTTAAGCACTGGCAGTATTACTGATTATTCTCAGCTCTCTTGATAACACTACAGTCATTTTTATCTGAACCATTTTGCTCCAGTAAGAGAGATAATCACACAGAATTCAGTGAACAGGGAAGCTGTGTCTCAGCACATCTCTGTACACCCAGAGAATGACACACCTGTAATGGGCCCTCAGAAAACATTCACCTCTCACGGGACCAGCAGTTAGCGTAAGGGCTATGTCACTGGACTCCCACGTAGTTAACCGCGGTTTGAGTCCTGGACCCGGTGGCTTAAACTCACGCCGGGCGCGTGTGCGTGCATGCCCAAGATCCCAAGAGGAGAATGGAGGAGAAGGGATTGCGGCATGGCCATCCCCCCTGGGGTGTGATTTCTCGCTTTCTATCTCTCTGTCTCTCTCTGTCTGTCTGGCGAACGCACACGCCCTATAGCAAAAATCTCTCCCAAAAAAAAAAAAAAACCACACACACAAAAAAGAAAACATTCACCTCTCTGAAGGCTACAAGGCAACAGGAGAGGAGTGGGTTCCCTCTTACCATCCATTTTAGGATTAAAACACAATAGATAAAGGAATGAAATTGACAAAATGAAATATCTAAAGGCTATTGTAAGACTTGGAGTTTGGCACCACATAAAAATATGAAAAGAATATCCTTTCTGGGACCAGCAGTTAGGGTAATGGCTATGTCACTGGACTCCCACGTAGTTGACCGCGGTTTGAGTCCTGGACCCGGTGGCTTAAACTCACACGGGGCGCGTGTGCATGCGGGCGCAAGATCCCAAGAGGAGAATGGAGAAGGAATTGCAGCTTGGCCATCCCCCCAGGGGGTGATTTCTCGCTTTCCATCTCTGTCTCTCTCTGTCTTTCTGGCGAGTGCACGCACCCTATAGCAAAAAATCTTCTCCAAAAAAAGAAAAGAATATTCTTTCTTTTAAGGAATAATTGTTATATGTACATAATAATGTTTGGGAATAAGATTGATAACTGGCCAGTTAAAGAGTGTATATTGCTCTGATTTAAAATATCCACAAAAATTAAAAGCTATATTCTTACTGTGACAGTAGTTCTCAGAGCTTTTGGACTTCATTTCTCACCAACTTGCATTTTAATGCTAAAATTGGAGAGGACCAGAGAAAATTCACTCAAGATTTGTGATAAGTGGGACGAGCAGATGGCGTAATGGCTACATTGCTAGACTCCCACCTAGTCGGCCACAGTTCAAATCCCAAACCTGGTGACTTAAACTCACGCCGGGTGCATATGCTTGCGTTCCCAAGATCCCAAGAGAAGAATGGAGAAGAAGGGATTGCGGCATGTCCATTCCCCCTGGGGGGTGATTTCTTGCTTTCTATCTATCTATCTATCTATCTATCTATCTATCTTTCTGGCAAGTGCACTCACCCTATAGCAAAAACCTCTCCAGAAAATAAAGATTTGTGATAAGTGAAACATAGAGTCATTTGCATTTGTATATTGGGTCTCCCTTTCCATTTCTTTCTCACTCAGAGACCCAGAGTAGGAAGTCCATTGAATAATAGATGTGCCACCTTTTCAGGAAGGATGTGGTACCAGTTTTCATTTTCTTACAATTGGTTCACAAGTTGCTATTGAATGAAAGTTGACATTTCTGTCACATTTTGGGTCTCCCTTTAGTTCCTGGCTTTCCTTACCCTACTGCGGCCACCACGGCAGCGGCTTTCAGAGGAGCCCATCTGAGGGGCAGAGGGCGGACGGTATACGGTGCAGTCCGAGCGGTACCTCCAACAGCCATCCCCGCCTATCCAGGGTAAGCATTAGATTCCAAAATCAATATGTTTCTATAATAAGCAACTGGAAAAAAAAGAATACCATGGCCCTCTCATAACTTCTGGGATGTTGCCATGCCACATGCTAGACATTCGATGAATATTTGCAAATTAACAGATTAAATGGCAAGAACCAAACTCTGTCATCATGAGAATGTTTCAAAGTGGTAATTCATTCTATAAATCCTCATTTGGGCCACCTTAAGCCCTTGTGGTAATGGCTTAAGACAGCAGCCAGAACCGTCTTGTGTTTACTAGCAGTGTGTCGGCATGGAGTTGTCACTCAGCAGCGCACGAATATGGATTAACACTACGTCAGAGAACCAAAAGAGGAGCTCAAGACTGTAGTAAAGGTGGCATCTGCTGTGTTCACCCCTTGTCACCACCCTGTTGGGGGCTGAGGCACTCAGTGCCCTCCCCTTTGGTTCCACTGCCTGGGTGGTGAGCAGCAGAGCTAGTTACCCACAATGGATTTGCTTTCTTTGTAGGAAACGGATTAAAAGAGGTTAATTCAAAGATGAACCAAGTCCAATTGAATCAAGGGAGAAAGGGAGAAGTAGGAGGAATTAAACTGCAGTTGGCTTCTGAATGATGGTAAAACAACTAATGTAGCTGAGCATCCTTCAATTCTGTGATTTTTATACAGAGGGTGTCTCATGCAGTGGAATGATTCCATAGCAACAAATAAATCCTTTGTTATTGAATGGAGGAGAAGGAGTGAAGATGGCAGGTTTTGTCTTTAGTTGTTTCTCAGGGTCAGCCTGAAATGTATATTTTCATGAAGAGTGGATTTTTATAAGTCAGCTGTACCAAGAACTTACTCTCTTCAAAGATGTGACATTTCTCTTCATCTCTTCTCTGCTGTGATAGGCTTTTTTCTTCTGGTAGTCTCATTAAGGAATAGACAGTGGCAGAGAAGCCTATGAGCTGCTACTTACTGAAACATGAGAGCCTCATTTGTATGTCCTTTTCTAATAGCAAAATTGGCTTAACCTTGCATTGTACTAACTTAGCGTTCATTCATTCATAAACTAAATGGACATACCTTTAGGAGTCCTCTATCCCACTGAATTAAAGCATTCTTATTAGAGAATGCAAGTATGCATGTCGACGTAGGCAGGCTCCAAAAGACACTAGAAGGGAACTGCTTCAGAAATTAACTTTCATGTGCAGTTTATAGATGTTGAAACTCCCATGCATCCCATCATCTCCATCTTCTGCCATTACTTACTTTTAATTTTGTCTTTTTTCCTCTCAACTTGACCTTTGACCTTCAACCTCTGACATCTCTTTAAAGACGTGAATAAAGATGCAGTATTATTTCATCAGGAAATAATTCAAGTGGAACATAAAATTGAACCTTTGGAAGTTCTATAAACTAGGAAAAGTGCCTATAAGGTGTCTTCCATTTCAATCCAAGAGAGTTTGTCATCATATTTGCAAAGAGATCGCTCACCAGAAACATGGGACATCTTTATTTTTTAACATTCTTGAGTTAAAGTGGTTGAATTCATTCCTATTCAATGTAGGTCAGTTAGTAAATTGGCCAGACTTGAGAGCCCATTCTCTGCCTACTCTGTGTCAGCTAAATATTTGCTCAAAAATATTTTATCTTTAAGTCTAATCACATTGATTTCTGTGCATTACATTGAACACTAATATCCCATGTTTTCTTTTTTATTAACTAAACCACCTGTTTACATGGAAGATGGCAAGGAATAAGTCCAGTATTTTATGGGGAATGGCCTAGAATCGCTTTTCAGCTTAGTAGAATAATTCCATCATTAATCATTGTGTTCTAGCCTTCTTGGGGCATTTGTTACAAGGAATATTGGAATTTTTCCAGAACTTATGTGAATATTCCCAGTAAGTTGGAAATTGACTTAGGGTAAATGTATTCAGGTTTTTAAGGCCGACACTCTTCTCTAGAGAAGGAATATTTTTAAATCTTTGCATACATCCCCTTATTGAAATCACTGAGAGCTAAGTAGCCATCACGTGGCCTCAGTGTGCTTCCCATTTGTTAGCCTCCTCATTGTGAACAAGTCTCTTTTTTACTAACATGAAACTGAGAGGCAAATTATTTTCTCATACCAGATTTTAACTGCATTCAGAGACTGTAAGGTGTATAGTACTTAGCTAAATGAGCATTAAAGATGAACTTGATTTGCCTGTTGTGTAATACAGTATCAGGGTCTTTGCAAAGTGTGACCATAACTATCCTATAAATACAACAGAATATCATTAGAAGTAGAATTCAGAAACTTTTCGGCCACCATAAGAAACAGATTTTCATATTCAAGGTAAAAATATTATTTGACAACCTTACTTGCCAGCTTGTTTATTATAACAGAGAAGGTAGTAGTGAAAATTTCTAGCTTTAGTTGAATAAACTAACAGATCATCTAATTTAAAACAGCCAAATCTTGGCTTACAGATATGTACAAGAAAGTCTTATCTTTTATCTCTACTGCTATCCCATGTCTTTTGGTCCCAGAATGACGTTCTGGGGAAAGTCTATATGCACAAAAATACTTCACAAGGTTGGAAATCTGTATTTTAAGAAAAATAGTGTAGTGGGAACCAGCAGGTGGCGTGGTGGTTAAGGTGCTGGACACTCCCACATGGCCAACCGCGGTTCAAGTACGGGACCTGGTGGCTTGCTTTCTCACTTTCCCTCCCTCTCTCTGTGTATCTTTCTCTGGTCAAATTAAAATAAATGAATGAATAAATAAAATTAAATAAATAATTATTTTTTAAAAAAAAAAAGAAAAGTAGCGTAGTGCTGCTGAGGATTTAAAGGGGGGAGGGTCATATGCATTATTTGTCTGCTACAAATTCATTATCTAATCAGGAAAATAAACCCTTTTATTCCTAACCCACTACCTTCTCAGTTTTACTCTTTTAAATAAGACATGATCCTTAGGCATTCCCAGAATTTCAGTTATCAGTTGTATTTCTCAGAATTCCATAAGTATTCTTATGGTCGAAAAAGAACCCTTAAGATCTCCAGTTACTCCTCCCACTCTGGATTATATTGTTACTATCTGGGATCCCCACTGCACCTTTCAATTCTTGGACCTTGGACCAATCACCTTAACCTTTAGCTCATTATCTCTGCTTGTGAAAGCAATGCATTGTGGGTATTTTTGGTTGTGTTTTTTTTGTTTTTTGTTTTTTTAATTACATTCCTCTATTTCCTTTGGTCAGAATTGATTGACTTGTTTTTCTGAGGTGTTGCATTGGTTCTTAAAATGCTGAATAATAATACTTTGCATGCTTGTGTGATCAGCCAAATCTTATCGCATGTCTAATGTGCAGGGTAAAAAGCAGGTGATGTATGGATATCAGAAAAAAAGTTTACATATGCTACAAAACCAAAAACAAAATACTAAACCTAATTTTCAAACATTTTACACACACGTCCTGCCCCAGTGAAATTCTTTGGGTTCATTTTTCTTGCATTAAGCCCATTCAGACACCCACCCCACTTTATAAGCTCTATAAAGAAATCTTCCTGCTGGAGCAAGCTTATTTTAAAAAATATACCAGACACCAAAAGGTGATGTTTCCAGTCCTGCAGATTTTCAGTAGCTGTGTTAGGCTCTCCTGTGAGTGCTTTTCTGTTGTGTCAATGTTACTTTAATAACCAGAGATCCAGGTTGCTCGTTGCAGTTTTGCACACCTTTCCCTCTCCTCACATGTCCTGGAGCTGTGTAACATGTGTGTGCATTTTCACATTTTTCTCAGTGACTGGCTGTGGCCTCCAGCCCAGGTTTTGTGTTCATACATCACCTGCCTGTGTAGAGCGCATGTGCATGCTGCCGTCCTCAATAACCGGAATGTGTTTCTGTTCTTTTGTTTTTTTGTTTTTGTTTTTGTGTGGATTTTCTGCAGTGTGGTTTACCAGGACGGATTTTACGGTGCTGACCTCTATGTAAGTACACACACCGGGGCCGCCTTGACCCCATCCCCTGACAAGCCAGCCTTTTTTTTTCTGTTTCTTTGGTTTGTTTTTGTTTTTGTTTTTCCAAATATAATTTATTTAATTTTTATTTCGTTTTTCCTTGTGGACATATATATATATATATTTATATATTTAAGAATGCAAGCATGCTTCTCTGCCACTGCGCTTGCCCCTGGGTGCAAAAACTAAGCCTTTAGGTTTCCTGATCATTGCTAGGGTCAGTCTACTGGACATATTCTTTTCCCTTCCCTATACCCACAGAGGTTCTGTGTTTATCACTGATTGATTCCTGAGATGATCAGCAGGTTTAAAGTCGTGTCATTTGCTGTCGTATTTGCACGCATAAATAACAGGACTAGATTAGCCTTACCAACTCTCTGCCTTCTCTGCTTTTCTTCTCATTTCACATCCCTCTTTAGATCATTAGAGTTTTGATTTATGTAGATGGCAATAAGCTTTCTGAATTGTGTGCTTCCTATTTTTTATACTTTGAGAGAGCATTATCTTGTAAAAATGGAATAAGGGGCTGATGCCACTGAACAGTGTGCTAATGAAAGGTTGCCAGAGAGTCAGTTCGGAAGAACTTTTTTCAGTCAGAAGGTTCACAGTCCGTGGATCTGTTCTTCAGACTCTGCAGAAGGAAATGAGTAGCATTAACAAGCAACCTGGCTCTCCTTCAGTCAGTGACTGCCACACGGTGTGTTGCTACCGGTCACATTCACATGTGATCCGTTACTCACTGTCTGGCTGTAGCTAACGTTCCACAATTGGCTTGTCGTATAATATTTTAAATAAGGACCAAGTGATCTAACTGACAGTGCAAGTTTTTGAGTTTTCAGGTCTTATTAGGCCCTCTTCAGATGGTCTTTTTCTGAATGCAAGCTTGGTCTTATCACCCAAATCATTATGAAACAATTTTATGAGAAAGATTTATCAGTATGAAATTATTCTGTAAGGATACGTTAAAGTGGTCTAGAAATGCTTTCTCCACCACAACATCCCAAAATCCGTAAGAGATTTTTAGTGAACTATTTCCAGTCTGTCAGAGATTCTCTGACAATCCGAAAACGTTAACGCACTTTTTTTGTATTGCATTTAGAGGTTCCAAATATAATTTATTTAATTTTTATTTCGTTTTTCCTTGTGGACATATATATATATATATTTATATATTTAAGAATGCAAGCATGCTTCTCTGCCACTGCGCTTGCCCCTGGGTGCAAAAACTAAGCCTTTAGGTTTCCTGATCATTGCTAGGGTCAGTCTACTGGACATATTCTTTTCCCTTCCCTATACCCACAGAGGTTCTGTGTTTATCACTGATTGATTCCTGAGATGATCAGCAGGTTTAAAGTCGTGTCATTTGCTGTCGTATTTGCACGCATAAATAACAGGACTAGATTAGCCTTACCAACTCTCTGCCTTCTCTGCTTTTCTTCTCATTTCACATCCCTCTTTAGATCATTAGAGTTTTGATTTATGTAGATGGCAATAAGCTTTCTGAATTGTGTGCTTCCTATTTTTTATACTTTGAGAGAGCATTATCTTGTAAAAATGGAATAAGGGGCTGATGCCACTGAACAGTGTGCTAATGAAAGGTTGCCAGAGAGTCAGTTCGGAAGAACTTTTTTCAGTCAGAAGGTTCACAGTCCGTGGATCTGTTCTTCAGACTCTGCAGAAGGAAATGAGTAGCATTAACAAGCAACCTGGCTCTCCTTCAGTCAGTGACTGCCACACGGTGTGTTGCTACCGGTCACATTCACATGTGATCCGTTACTCACTGTCTGGCTGTAGCTAACGTTCCACAATTGGCTTGTCGTATAATATTTTAAATAAGGACCAAGTGATCTAACTGACAGTGCAAGTTTTTGAGTTTTCAGGTCTTATTAGGCCCTCTTCAGATGGTCTTTTTCTGAATGCAAGCTTGGTCTTATCACCCAAATCATTATGAAACAATTTTATGAGAAAGATTTATCAGTATGAAATTATTCTGTAAGGATACGTTAAAGTGGTCTAGAAATGCTTTCTCCACCACAACATCCCAAAATCCGTAAGAGATTTTTAGTGAACTATTTCCAGTCTGTCAGAGATTCTCTGACAATCCGAAAACGTTAACGCACTTTTTTTGTATTGCATTTAGAGGTTGTGTGTGTTGCAGGTAGCAGATAGGACAGTACAGTCCTCAGAGGTGCAGGTGATTCGACACACCTGTACTCTTTAGGCCATCAGAGTATGCTGTAATTGAACTACTGCTTCAAGGAGCTGTAGCCGTTATCATGACCAACACTCTAACTTCATGGCTGTGTTTCTTAGAGAGATTGTGACTTACCCAGGATCACGTAACTTGTTTGTATAGCCAAGCATAAAACCCAACTAACCCATATTTCATTACCTCTCTTTGTGCTTTAATTAAAATCCTCCTTTCTCCTTAGAATGTGTTTAAGGAGTAATGAAGGAAATCTTTTTTTCCCATGTTTACAGTGAAATTTCAGAATTAGGAAAATCTGTCCTACTTTTACATCAAATTCCACATTTCTAAATAGACATATGATGTTAAAAAGTGTATTCTCCCACATACATGATTATCCATATTGTCATATAACTGACCTTTATATTATTTAAGTTTTTTTAATCTGATCTATTAAAACAAGCACTTCTATTTGAATTCTTTCTTAAATTAGTTTTTCTCTAATATATTCTTTATTTGGGTCTCTTTTTTTTTCTAAATAACAGCCTACTTTTATTAAGGTTTGCCTCCTTTCATCTTAAGTCAACAAATCAAATACTTCTCTATAGTTCTCTCATTTACTAACTTTGCAATATGTTTTTTTGAGATTGATGATTTTTCTGTACTAGTCAAGAAAATACACTTGAATTTTTTATCTACTAATTGGATCACTTTGTCAGACTAAACAGAAGTAAGTCAGTGATCTTGTTGGAATATTTTTTTTGACCAGCAAACCCTTGTTGACCAGAGTAGTGATTAGTGCCGTTAAGTTTCTTTAGTTCCTACCTTAAGACAGAGTTACTCAGAGAAAAAAGTTGATCTCAAAATAATATCTGAGCCCACTAATGAGATGCAAGCATACAGTATGAGGTAGCTGTTAAGTTAAGCCTGATGTAATTATAGCTTTTAAAACTGTGTATTCCATATTCCATATGTGAGGAAGCAAAGGATTCTTCTTAACACACAGACACACACACCCAAAAAACACCTGTCATTTTTGCCTTTTGCCTTGAGTTTGTTCTGCTTTCTCTGTACTTTCCCATCTATGGAAATCTGTCGATACACATTTAGTGCTTGTTTTCTCAGAAGTGCATATTAGAAATACAAAAAAATAGAAGATTTATCTGTTATTTAAAAGTACACCAACCAGAGCTTAAAGAAAAGACACAGGGGA